AATAAAAATTTTTTTCATTTGAAAATAAAAAAAACATATTTTACAAATAAATAGCAATCGTTTTTGCGCTTTCTTGCATATCAATATATTTAAACATTTAAATGTATTTATGAAACATTTAAAAACATAAATTTAAAAATTGTTTATAGTTCTAGCGTGAATTTAAAAGTATTACTGACTGATAAAAGTCATAAACAAATTTTACATTAAAAGGTCCTTTTATTTTCATTAAATTTATATAAACAATAATCTTTTTCTTTTTCCTTGATTTGTATAGATTTAATTTTTCATAGCTGAAATAACTACCACCTTAAAAAGCAAGAAAAAATAAATAAATGAAATATAGGTTAATCTTTGTTTTATTATTCATTATTTTTTTAATTTTAAAGCACAAACAGATTTCTGTTATTTACTTTAGCATTGGTTGTATTTTTGCGGTATTTTTGTTTAGCTTTGTTTTGGCGCGAATTCTTGAAATGCATAATAATAAAACGTGCTCAGTTAGTCAGAAAAATTTATTCTATGCGTGGACAAATTAGGCGTGCGACCGCATGCCTTTTCTGGGAAAGTCTGATACATACATATATATATATATATATATATATATATATATATACATATATATATATATATATATATATATATATATATATATATATATATATATATATATATATATATTTATATATATATATATGTATATATATATATATATATATATATATATATATATATATATATATATATTATATATATATATATGTATATATATATATTTATATATTTTATATATATATATATTATATGTATATTTATATATTATATCAGGCCTTGCGATAAAGCGTCGGGCGATGTGAATTTTACGTCGTCCAAGAGCGATTTTGCGTGTAGCTAGGGCTATTTGCGTTGAGCAAAAAATTTTTTGTTTGAGTGTATTTAAAGATATTTTTGAGCGGAATTTTAATGATGTAATTTACGATTATTTTAACATTTAATAAAGTATTTTAAAAACCGCACGCAGTTGATATAAAAGTTTGAATTAAAAAAAATTAAATATGCTCATTAATTACAAGTAGAAAAAATTCAGATTAAAAAAAAGTTTAAATCTTTTAAGCTAACATTTTAATAAAATTATTCAGCAATAGCAAAGTTGTCGATAAGATTGAACAAAAATACTTTTTTTTAGTTTTAGATTTTAAACTTAAATAATTATTTTACGGGGGTTTGTTAGGTTTTAAAATTATTCCATAGATTTAAAAATATTTATTAACTGTTAGATGTATTTAAAGTACTTAAGAGTAATTTCGAGGAAACATTTTAAAAATTGGTGAGCGCAAATAAAAAAAAAAAAAGGAATAATATTAAAAGGTATTCTACTTGATTCAATAAAAAAGTACAGTTATTAAAATTTTTGTAAAAAGTAACTCAAAAAAATTACTCAAATAATAACGATCGCTTTTATCTTATAAGTTACCGAAACTCAACGAAGCGTGCTCAAGAACAGCTGCTGAAAAATAGAACGTCAATAGTTTTTCGAATAATTTTTAATAATAATTTTTAAGAATAATTTTTTCGCTGAAATATTTCTTTTATACTTATAAGATTTTTATTCTAACATTTTATTTTATTTTACTAGAAATAAAATTCGTTGTTAACATTAAAAATCTATTCAAAATGTTCGTTTAATGTTTTTTATTAATACGAGTGATTGTGCTTATTAACTGCTTTATGAAAATAAATAAAAATAAATAAATATTATATAAAATTGCTGGTAAAAATATTAGCTATTGCACAGTTTTTAATTGTACAATATTAAAATTTCCAGTTTATTACTCATTGACTTTTTAAAAAGAAAAAATAATTATTTAAAAAACTTTAAATTACATATTTGAGAAAAAGAAAATCAAATATTAGCATATTTTATAATCTTTTTTAAATTTTAGTTATAATGATTTTTATTCGTTTAGTATAGACAAAATGTGTCAAACGTCCAGAAAATAATAAAATGTTTTTACATTTTAAAAAACGAAATATTCCAAATCATTTTTAAACAATAACATTTCTACATTTAAAGTAGTTTTGCGGTAATTAAGTAAATTGGTGCAGTTAATGTCGAAAAATATGAAAAGCAAATAAAAAGAATTTAATGACGTCAAAAATCACGTCGTGCTTATGCGTCGCGCAGTTTTTATTCATTACAAGGCCTGGTTATATATATATATGTATATAAATTATATATATATACATATTATATATATATTATTATATATATTATATATATATTTATATATTATATATATATTATTATATATATATATTATATATATTTATATATTATATATATTATATATGTATATATATATTATATATATATATATATATTTATATATTATATATATTATATATATATTATTGTATATATATTTATATATTATATATATATATATATTTATATATAAATTTATATATATATATATATTTAT